TATATATATATATATATATATATATATTTATTTTTATTTTATTTTCGCTTTTTAAAAATTAATTATAATTTGATAATTATTTTATTTTTTTAGATTGAAAGTATAATATTTCTTGTAGTGTTTTGTAAGACAAGTATATGCACATACAAATTGTTGTACGTTACATAATAACACAAATATTTGAATTTTTCTTATTGATCATAATTTTGAAAACCTTTTCAATAAAGTCAATTGTTACACAATATATCAAAGTTATTCTAAAAGTGTTTTAAAATAAAATAAAGACTTCACTAGAACGAATATGCCAATTAGAGTATCATTTTTTTACTTGTAAAAATATTTTGTGTTACATTAAAATCAATGTTATATGAATGTTACTTTAGAAGACATTCAAAGTTAAGATAATATTTTTTAAAAATTTAATTAGTTGATAATCTAGTTAGTTTGAGCTTGAAATGTCTAATAAAACAGTTCAAATAATTGAAGACAATCTTACAAAACTAATATTGAAACAAGGTTGATTCTAGTGGTGGCAAATGGGCGGGTTGGGTCAAATTTGGGCGGGTTGAAATTGAGTTAACATAAAATGGGTAATAATTCAACCCGCCCATATTTGATATGGGTAAAAATTGATTGGGTAACAAATGAGTTGGGTAAAATACTAGTTTACCCATATTTTCATCAATAAATAGTTCTTGTCACGTCCCAAATCCCATTAAGACGGACGACACCCAATGTCCTCTAGGCCCGAGAAAACCAACATGTAACATGTGCTTACTATGCATATAACTATGACAATCTTATGACAAGTTCACATAGGATGCAGCGATACGAACCAACATAAGTAGACCCAAAACTTATATACAAGACTTGGCCATTGAGGCCACAACTTGTTAAGACGCAACTGAACCATAAACATAAGTCTAGAAAGCCTCTAAAAGATAGAAAATCTTAGAGTAGGTCGGGACAGACCCCGCCTTACTCTTAACTATGATATAATACCCAAAATGAATCTACCAAAGACTCAGTAAAGCTCCGAATCAATCTGGAGTTCACCAAAAGTAGCTGAGTGTCGTGTGCTCCTACCGAGGAGGTCTACTAGCTGAAGTACCTGTGCCTGCAGCATGAAATGCAGCGTCTCCCGCGAGGGACGTCAGTACGAGAAAATGTACTGAATATGTAAGGCAATAACACATATAAAATAAGAGTTCGAATGAAATCCAGTATCAATATATGTGTGCATAAATCAGAACAGAAGACTACCTTTGTTAACTCTTGTGGGATCATGTATGTTACATTCGTGTCTTTACCTTTCTGTGTGTTATGATCTTTATAAGGCATGTGATACGAATGACCAGATGATCAGTGGTAGAAGAGGATGATCCATGCTAGGCATTTTAACCCTTGGGATGCGGTCCTCATAATTACACAAATTGGGATCGGCCCATGCTAGGCTTTCGCCCCTGAGCTGCCACCCTT